AGTTGGCGGAGACCTCATCCCCCAAAGTGTCATCACATACTTTGAACTATTCAATCTTTATTTTCAATGTTCTTTCAGTTTTGAGGGGAGGTGTTTTGTGAAAATCAGTCTTCAGGAGAGTCTGATCTTACTTGTGGTACTTCAGTCACTGTTGTATTGAAAACAAGAATTTTTGTACAGCACTCTGGTGGCAGTGGTGGTGGTTTCAACAATTTGCGTGTCTGGCTTCGATGAGCACTTCGAGCACCTGGCCGTGTGCAGTGGTGATGCTCAGCTGATTCTCATGGCTGTGGTGGTGGAGAAACAGCTGTTACAGGATTAATGGTAAAAGTGATGAGCAGTGCCCTGGGGAATTGAGCCCAAGGCACTTTGTTTCCCCCACTGGAGGAGCCAGAACCAGAAAAGATGTCAGCAGCATCATATGACACCATATCATTCTCATCCAGTGGGACAGAGCACCAGCCAATCTGTGGTGACTGGTGGATGTACAGATCTGGAAGGAGTGTGTCTGCTCAAAAACGCCAGTTTATGGACTTTCTTTGCAGAGTTTTGGGATGCCGAGGGACCCGGCAGGGCTTCTGATCTCAAGGAGGAGAGGATGTGGGGAGGTGGGGTATGTGTGTGTGTGTGTGTTTGTGTGTTAAAAATCACCTGAAGGCTGACGAAAAGGCAGTCTATCACTTTTTTCCTTAGGTGATTTCTTCTTTTTCAGTTAGTTGTTCTTTATGTTGCTGGGTAGACCAACATAAGAAAACCTTTTGAGTTATTCATTATCTGCTTCTCTGTGCTGGTGCTTTCTGCTGCTCTCCTTTCTATTTCCCTCCATGAGATTCTTTTTCTCTGAAGCTGTTGAGATAAAGAAGCTCATCTTCCCAGACTCAGGTGGAAGAAGGGGGGCTGATCGCTTCCTCACTTTTGTGTAGGAGAGAGGGGAGAACTTCTTTCCATTCTAATTCTCTCCAGATAATTTGATTTGTGTCAATCCACAAACTTGGTAAGGTGTCACTGACACTGTGGGATCACTTCCTGAATTTGTACGTATGCAGATTTATAGCACAGTGTATAGGTATGGATTTCCCTGAAATCAGTACTTGCTCAACTGCAGCCAGGCTATACATAGAGTACATTTTATTTGTTAGGTGACATGAGTGGCGAAATTCTTCTTTGACTATTGTGAGACCATTTTTATGGTACCTGTTTTATTTATCTGATTGTTAAATAACTAATAATCTCATCTGTCTTGGCAGACCACAGACAGATTGGCAAGGATGGATGGTCACCCATCAGGAAGAATTGGTGTAGGAGACTACTTGCTAGCCTGTGTGGATGGGACATGCCCTGTAGAGCAAAAGTAAATCCTCAGATCAGACAGAAGGGAGGAAACACCATTTGCACAACCTGTCAATCCTTCCTTTGTTTTGACTTGTGTTTGTCTAGTTTGTAACTTCACCTTTGAAAACCATGGCAGTTCTGTTGCTGTCATGTTCAAAGCAAGCATTTTAAAACGCCTGTCAGTTGTGTTTCTTTAAAGTAAATGTCAAGTCTACCTTCCACTTGTGTGTTATTCTGTGTTTTGGTGATGAAACTAGAGAATTGCCAGTCATACTTGGAATTGTTAGGTAGGGTGTGTGTAAGGGTGCAGCAACCTCCAGAGAATACCCCTCAGTTTTTTCACTCTGTTTCCGCTTTTGGGTAAGCAGCCTATGCTTTCCAGTGTTGGAAGATAGAAGGAGACAGCTCGTAGAGTATGGTCTTTCAAATGGATTAATCCTCCAAGTCCGTAGCTGCTTGGTTTTGGATTGAAAAAAAAGCAATATATCTAAAGAAAAAAACCTCAGAGATGTTTTCGAGGTTGGTTATAAGCCAGGAGAGTCCCGTTGGGTCCCTTTCTAGTAGTATTTGGTAGGATCTGATGTTGGCATTTCCCCATGATCCCAGACGTTCTGCTTTAAAAAGCATCTTCCTTTGTTCTCTTTTTCCTCTGCTTCTGCTTCCCAAAGTAGTAGCAGGATTTTGTGTGCTGCCCGAGGATGGTGAAGAACTTTGAACTTGCTTTTAAGGTGACCTAGTACTAACAAAAGAGGAAACAGGGGGATGATCCCTAAGGAACTGGGAAATAGGGTTGGGGTATGAGCAGGAGGAGCAGCCAGTGAGGAGAACTGGTAGCAGGCTGAATGTCTGGGCCCAGAGGGTGGTGATTATCAGGGCAAAGTCATTTAGTTGGAGGCCAGTAACCAGTGGTGTAGCCCAGGGAACAGTCCTGGCCCCAGTCCTGTTGAAGACCTTTCTTAATGATCTGGATATTTGGGCAGAGTGGGCTCTCAGCAAGTTTCTTGACAACACCAAACCAGGAGGAGCAAAGGATGATAATTCAGAGGTAATCCAGAGGGTTCTTCTGCCCTCTCTGATAGGCTGGAGAAATGGGGTGACAGGAACCTTGTCGACTGCATGAAATGCCAGGTACTATATGTGGGAAGAAACAAGCCCAGGCATCAGCATATGTTTTCCAGCTGGAAAGCAGCTTGGCAGGAGGGGCCATGGAGAAGGGGCCAGCTGGTGACTTTAGGGTTCCCTGCCCGGAACCTGAGGTCTTGGCAGTGGCCAATGTCACCATGCTCATTTGCATGTGGAAGCATTTCCCAGAAGCTTTTGCTCCCTGGCACATTGTCCTCAGAGCTGGCTTGTCACAGGGGCTTGGGTTGGCACTTGCTCACATTCTTGGAGGAACTGCAGATGTGTAAGGAGGTGGGAGGACATGGCTCTCTGGTTCCTGCACCCCAGGAGCTGCAGGACCGCTTCCACATGTCCTGTGCCATCACCAATGCAGCATCTGCACCTCCAAGCGGCCTTGGGAGCCATGCTGTGCAGGGAAGGGCAGAGAAACAGCCGTCTGGAGCACGTCCAGTTCCTACTCCTCACCAGGGACTGGTGGGAGGAGTGAGAGTGGGAGAGGGGAGAGGCTGCTACCACTGAGCTCTCAGCCCCAGTGGGTCCTGCCAGTGGTTCCCCAGGTGTCTTCGAGGAGCATGGGCATGTTGTCAGAGATGGCTGGTCACCCCTCAGGCAATATTGGTGAAGGAGATTTCTGGCTCCTCTGTCTGGATTGAACAGGCATTGACCTGGCTGGGGAAGCACTTCACTAGGTCACGCTGATAAGAAGATCCAAACTTGCCAACGAACTGTTAAGAGAAATGATGGGTTTTTTCCTGCTTTTGAAGAAGAATCCTTGTCTGTCGCTTTTAATTAGCCAAATTATAGCTGTCATTGTGTTCTGCTGCTCATTAAATACTAGGAGGCTGCTTCAAATATTATGGGGAAATTAAAGAGACAGTCTTGATAAGATTCTTTCTTTTAACCAGAAAAAAATATGACTTCCCTTGTATTGCGACTCTTTGCTAAATAAAGCCTTTGTTTCATCCAACTTCATTTTCCCCCTGCATTACACCTTTCTACTAATATCTAAGGACTTTAGTGGTGCTGGTCTCAGGAAAGAAAGAAAAAAAAGAAAGTAATATTGATAGATGGACAGACCTCTTCTGCCAGGCATCCTGCCCTCTCACTTTTACAGCCAAGAAGGATGTTTGAGCACTGCATAATAGCTATCATACAGGCTTTAGTGCAAATACAGTGTATGACAGAAACAGACTCCACCTTTCCACATTGCTCATATTTTTTCTTTCTTTGCTGTTGCTCTAAAGAAAATACAGATTCAAACCCACCTAGATTATAAACCACTCACTGTAAAGCTTATATTTATATACAAAAAGCACAGGAATGACCTGTGAATAAGAGACTTCCCTGTTTGAATTCTATATTAAAGTCTTACACCAGCTTTAACAAGAGTTGGTAATGGATAAATTTCAACTACTCTTCCTCTTCTTAAATATTTAATTATAGAAAGCCTCGTGCATCTCAGTCAAGGATGTGGATCCCATTGCACTCAACATAAATCCAGAAAGAAAGGATGGAGAGTTCACAGCATAGATATTAAGCCAGATGGAGTGGACAATAAGTGGGGAAATACATGGAACCAATGAAATTATATTGATCTCTGCGCAATGTCCTGGTGGCTTAGCCCTTTTCTTTTTATGAACACTATAAAAAAGCAAGGTTCTTTAAGGTAGGTAGTGAAAGCAGTTAATAAAATAACCTTGTGCATGCCTTCAGTAAACTCCATTAAAGCAGAAAAAGTGGTGTCAGAGAAAACCTGGTATTGTTCATTCCCTTACCTATTCAGAAAGTGAAGACAGCAGCAGTGACTAGTGAAGACCAGCTCAAGGGGCTGTCCCTTTTGGTGGGGACAGGGATGGTGTTACTCAGAGCACGGGCACAGGAAAAGGCAGAGAGAGGGAAAAAGGAGCCTAGAATCAAAATCAGAGAGGAAGGCCAAGTGGGAACAGTTAGAGGTGGAAGACAGACAACATATGGCAATAATATTGCAGGAGATGGAAATAAAATGCTGTGCTGTTTAATAGAGGAAAAAGAGCAAGAAGAGAGAGGTTGGATGGGGAAGACACTGGAAAGAAGCCCAGCTCTTCCAGCATATTTGAATCTAAAGCAAAGAAGGCACACAAGAAGACTTGTGCAAGGTCACTAATCATGGATGCTTCTACATTGCATAAGATCCTGCAATATAGCTATGCCTATGTGGGGCACTCTCAACCCCATATCTCTGTTATTAAATACAAACATACTCTTTACTCTCTCTTTCCCTTAGAAATACCAAGTCACTTTGGGGAAATACAGTTAAGCTTTTATAAAATCATCAGCATGCTGCTCGGCAATTTTATTCCCATCTAATTCCTTCTATGTGGTTAAAAACTGGGCCGTGTGCTCCCTTTTAAAGCAGAACACTGTGTCCCACCTTGAAAGACACACCACGTTTAAGTGTTTGCAAGCTAATAAGTCTGACGGGGCAGCAAATCCAAGGCCTGCACAACACTAGCCACTTGTTTATCAGTCTTGCAAACGTGCAAATAAGATACGGCCTTGTCAATAAAATACATTTCAATTTCATTTTCTCCAAGGCAGAAAAAGAAGACACATAGAAAAAAAAAATTGGTGCCTGAATGTCTATCGGTTCATTTTCAAAATCTGCTTTTATTTATCCTCTGGTTTTCATTGATCTCTGGCAATAGACATGCCAGCTGAGAGAACTTAGTTCTAACAGACGGTTTTTCTTCCCTCTGCCAAAAGTGATCAGGTTTCCTCTATGAGCTGTGCTTGGGAGTCTTCAGTCAAGTTGAAATATATCTTAATTCAGCAGATTATAACCAAATGAAATACATCTTTGCTCCAAAATATTCTTTTTTTTAGGGTCTTAAAAATTAATTTTCATTCCTTTTCTCTCTAAAACACACAGGTTTATTGACAGCATGTGTCAGTCTCTGAAATCCAACATGTTTCTTATTGCACCTTATTATGAATCCCTTCTCTCATCTTTCTTGGCTGAGCATCTCCCCACCTGCCAGCTCTCTCCTTCGCCTCCTGCTTCCAGACCCAAACCCTCCTCCATAGCCCTGGTGGCGCTGTCACCTTCATGCACCCAGACATACAGGTCCCCAGCATGGGATAGAATCACTCTGAACACACCTGCAAAGCTCATTACCCCACACTGGTTTTCAGATTGTCTTTGTGGGCTCCTGGACCACCTCTGGGTTTGCTGCTCAGGGGTCTCCCAGCCCCCTGGCAGGAGACAAGAGTTAGCTACTCTCAGCTCTGCAAATGGAAAAAGGTGAGAAATTTCTGCTTCAAACCAACCCACTTCCTTCTTGCTGCTGCTGCTGAATCCCTTTTCCTAGGATGTTTTCCTCCTGAGCATTGTGTGCATTTGAATATCTTTTTCTGACTGCAAACGTCTCAGAGGCAGCTCTGATCCATCCTGAAAGCTGAAAACCCCTTTTACACCATAAGATTTAATTCAGTAGGAAATCACAAGGAGCAACTAATTCAAACATTGTTTAACTAAGGAAAAGTGCTCCTTATGGCTTAGATTTGATGCATCCATACACGCCAAAACATACACTCGGCTTGATAGGGCATACACAGCATGCTACATTTGCACTGTGAGTACTGGCACTTTTCATGTGAAATACTGGGAGCAGTGAGACTACTTAGTCACACTTCCCTATTTGCATACTGATACTTCTGCGCTTTCACACAAGAACTTCTGAATTTCCCCTGTGACTGACATATGTAAAGCACAGGTACGTGCCTTGACAAGCAAACGCATGTCAAGAATGTATTTCTACCTGTGCTTGTTCCACTTGGCCTCTCTTTTCCCTCCTACAATGGAACTTCCTAGCCTGTTTAAATCAGCAGGGTTACAGACTAATGGTTCAAACAGTCCAGCATATAAAGCAAGGGGTAAGTTGAACCTTGATTGTGCTTCAATAAATCAGGAGTTAGTTGAAGGTAATTAACTATGACCTACTCTTTACCACAGAGGACCTGATAGCTCAAACCACGAAGAGGGTGAGGACTTGTAGAGGAGTGGTTCTATTTGTAGCTCTATGCCATTATCATCCGGTTGGTTAATATTATTAGCAGCATAAACCAAATTAAATTAATTTGGTGATGGTGAAATCATGTTTCTATGAATAACGCTGAACACCTTCTGTAAAAATATTTAAAACTGAAAAAAATAGCATGACATTTTACCTTTCCTGAAATTCAATTTCCTGTCATTACAGAAGTTCAATTGCAACATTCTTGTGAAAACCCAGCAAACAGAGCAGTACAACTGTTATAAACAGGTTAGAAAAAAAATCCTATGACACCAGTAACGTTTCACTTTTAAGTGGGAAACATGTTCTACTCACAGCTTACCTGTCTTCTTCTGGTTATTTAACACCGGCAATCTAAATTTCCTTTGACTGAGGCTAATGGGGCTTTTTGTGTGCAAATTCCCAGGGCTCAAGTAGGAAAGTGAGAGTGATTTATAGTACATGCAGTCAGGTGCACTTGAGCATCATGCTGGGGCAAATTGGATCCCAAAGTCCTGGCAAAGTCAGGCGTGGAAGGGGTCCCTCACCTCTTGGCTAGTGGGGCCGATGATGAGAGCACCCCAATCCTGGCCTCATGGTGAGCAGTGGGAGGGCTGCTGCTCACAAGGAGGAGGAGGAGGAGGAGGACATGGGACCAGACGGCGGTTGTTTGACTTGGCTGTCCTCACCTCCCATGGCAGCCAATCTCTCTGCCAGCATCCAGCCATTCCCACAGTAAGCCTGGTCTTAGCCTGTGATGCTTGTGCTCAGTTATTACTTTGGATGTTGTTGAAGTTTTCCTGGGAAGCTTGAGCCACGGCACGGGAAGCACATATTTCAGTTTACAGCCTGGGCCAGAGTGAAACAGGATTTCTCTGGCAGAAGGAAGAAGGCAGTCTTTTCACCTCAGGCCTGTCTTCTGACTGGATAGTGATGGCTGGTGTCAAGGGATGTGGGAGAGCTCTTCACAGAAACCTGCAGGAATCTCCTCATGGAAAGTCTTCAGCTGCCTAAGACACTGGGCTGGGCCAGGTACCCTGGAAGTGAAAACAGCCACTTAACAGTTTCATAGCCTTTTTTATGTTTATTTGTAAAGCACTTTGCAACAAGTGAGTTAACATTAGCTTCCCTCCACAGAGAGCAGAAACAGGCAGAGGTGTCAAAAAGTACCTGGCAAGTTAATGGCAAAAATATAAAGAGAAGCTGAGGCATTTCATTCATAGGCAGGTTCATGGGAAAAACAAAGGAAAAAGAAAAAAGAAAATTGAATACACAGAAGGTAAGAAAAGCACATTTGTCTGTTAAAAAGTTTTAATAGGATCGCTGAGCTGTGACCGCAGCTGATGTTGTTTGTGAGCAGACAGTGATTTTGCTATAAGCTCTCCTTCCCTGAGGAACCACATCAGAAAGGGTCATTTGGACAGAAGGGAACATGGCTTAGGTGCTGACAACCTGGCTTCCTTTCTTATATCAGGGTGACATCAATCTTCAGAGGTCTATACTATTTAGTTCATAACTTGTTAATGATGTGGTAAGTCACCACATTTCCATTTTGTCTAAGAGATGTAGAAGTCAACTTAGTGGTCTAAACAATAGTATTTTAATCCACCTAAAAAATTGATCAAATATCAAATATCTTAAAAATAATATTTGATAAAATTTAAATAATGCATAGACTTATATCCTCATTCAAAGCCCTGTAACACACAGCATGTACACACATACACACACCAAAAAACCTGCAAAATCGTGCAGCAATAAACACAATGCAAAGTATCGTCAGCAACGGCTCTGAATCGCCCAGGGAAATGCTTGTCAAAATCACTCCGAGAACAAGAGTCTATGGCCACTCTGCTCTTTTTATTACTAGAGAAGAGTTTGATGGCAGTGGAGTGAACCGCACTTCTATTTGTTGCATAGTTCCCCTGTGTTACTGCCTTATGTCGCTAATCTACGTGTGGAGATACCACTCTGCCCAATCTAACTGTGCCCTTGCAGTACCCGGAGTACGCCTGTAGAACTGAAGGAATAACTTCATTAGCTCAGCCAGCAGAGGGAACTGTTAATCAGCACTAATTGCTCACGCAGGCCTGACAGATACCCTGCCAAGTTCAGTAAATACCCAGTAAGTCATGGTACTTCATGCTTTCTAGGCTGTATCAGACTGCAAATCACCCAGCGTATTCCAGCACCGTGATCCTCTCTCCACAGTGCTCCTCCAGGCCTTCATTTCCCCTCACCTTGACCTTACTGCTTTCTCCTGGAAGGAGGGCAAGCTCTGAAACTGTTTTTGCACAATGGCATTTTTGTGTCTTTTTGGTCAATTAAGTACTCAGCTAAATTCAAATCCTGGCTGAAACACACACAGTCTTTTCCTCCCTCATGCCCCCTCTTATTCTCCTCTAGCTCTGCTCCTGACGCAGATATATTCTGCTGAACAGCAGCTGTACAAGAGAGGGTTAGATCATGTAGCTCATGTTTAACCACAACTTAGCAAAGGCAGAGGCAGGTTTGACCCACACTGACTGGCTTTGTAACCAGGCTGTGAGCTTGTACCACAATGCCACAGCCACAGCCTGCTCCAGCAGGTACCACTTCTCGAGAGTATGCCTTGTAATTCCTCACAGCTTTCCACGGAGGAAACATACCCATAATGTGCAAAACACTCTTTGCTTAATAACAGTTACTTCAGAAGCTCAGTGGTTATCAACAGTGAGTCAAGGTATGGCTTGGTTGCATCCTCTTCCCTGCCTCTCCCCAAGCTGAGCCTATGTGCTTCAAATCTTCCAACATGAAGTACTTCCCAGTGATATCAGTTTGCTTCCAAGAGAGCAAACGAAAGCAATCCCTTATGCCATTTGTGATAACAATCCAACTTGTTTTATTCAGTTGCTGGTGTTTTATTTCCCTGCAACAGGTAAAAGAAAAGGTGCTTGCAATGCCCCCTCCCTGCCGACAGGTGTAGCTCCCATTCTGGCAGGAGCCGCCCCACCAGCACAGCTGCACAAGCTAGAGCGGGAAATGAAAAATCCTCCGTCAAACTCTGGCACTCCAAAGGGGATCCACTCGATTGAGAGCAAAGAAGGCATGATGCAGAAACCTGATTAAGCAACTTCTGATGATCTTGGATCTTGGAGCACATTAAGCAATGAAAGGAGCCAAAGGCAGCTCTCTCTTACACCAGCGACCTGTGGGTCACCAACATTCCTTTAACGGCCAACAAGCAGCTGGAGCACAGGCTGTGTCAGCCACACCTCAGCTGCAGAGGCGATATAGAAACCCCTGTGGCAGGTCCCTGACACCTCATTTCCTCCATCCGAAACAATGTAAGGAAAGGCTTGGGTAGCTGAAGACCTGGCCTGCTGCATTCACATAAAGTCAGCAGGGAAGTCTCTTTTGAAGGAATACAATGAATTAAACTGGAAGAGGTCCAAGACTCAAGTTACGCTAATTATGGGTTTAAAATTAATGTAACACTAAACACCTGCTTTCTTCAAGCCTGAGAAAGGTGCCTTAGAAGGGTGTTATGTCTAATTTGTGATTTTACAACCTTGAGAGTAAGGTTCTTTTACCATGTGAAATTAATTGCTTAGGAGCCCTCCCTGGGCTCTTACATGGAAATCGGAGCTTTTGAAAAAATGACGGAGTGAAAAGACAACAGCTGTAAGGTGAAACCCATGATGGAATAAAGGCAGTGCCTTACAGAATTAATTTTACTTTTCCCTGTAATGCATCCCTGGTTGGCTTAGTAGTTATCCATCTGCTTAACACTTCCTTTTCTATTGTAATTGGTTAAAAAAACCCGAAATTTTTCCTGCCTGGATTATTTTTTTTTTTTCTTTTTTTTTTTTTTTTGCATTTTAAACAAAACTGGTTTTAAAACAAAAAGCTGTCAAAGCTCAGAGCTGATGAACTTCACCCAGCCTATTCCTATCTCTCAGTCTTCAATGGAGTCTCTCTTTCTTTTCTGGGGTACCTGTGGGGCACAGCAGCCACCCTCCTCTTCCAGGTGTCCTCTATCCAGGCACATCTGGCAGCAGCTAAGCAGCAGCCCTGCCTGTGCATGCCACTTGGGAGCAAAAGCAAAGCCACCCATACAGCACTGCAGCTGGAGAAAAATGGTTTAGAGGGCCACATACTCCAAAAAGCCCTTTGAGAGTTTCTGGGAACACCTCTGACTGCAGTCTGGTGACACACTTCCTACTCATAGTGTTCCTTCCTCTCAGACCTGACTGGCATACAGGTGCCTCTTCATCCATCTCAAGGCCTCGTGGAAGGGCGGGGAGAAGAGACATAAACATTCCTGCACATCGATCTTTAAAAGTTGTGTAACTTGCATATAGCAATAACACCTGGGAAATCACCTCCCTTTGGACTGGCTTATGGCTTGTAAATATTACTCATGCAGAGCAGTTATCCTAGAACAGTGACTTTTGACATACGCATGCATTGTCATTCTTATTTCTTGCAGCATGTTGTGTTTCCCGCATTTTCAGTGCTGTATTTCCAATTCCCCATGTGCTGTACTGCACCCGCAGGGAGACTCATCCCAGACGTCCAACTTTTTGGGCAACTTGGAGCAGCTGCAACTTTATAAAGGAAAATAATGATACATAAGAAACAACTTAATTTTCTCTTTGCTGGCTCAGCGAGCTTCTTAATCAGGTGGGAACAGGGATTAGCTGCCTAATATTTTGAGTTTGACAATCTTAGTCCTGAAAACAGCGCCATTGTTGATGTCCTAGAAGTCACTGATTCTCCATGGGGCAGTACTTAGAAACCCAAAACCATCTGACTTACTTGCAAGCATTTTCTTATTCCAAAAAACCCCAGATAATGAGATAAATCCTCCTCAATCTGTGAGTAGATTTTTCTCGAACGGAATAACATCAGGTCATTGCTCCCAGCTTTGCAACTATAAGCAACCCTTGCTCCCCACTGCCGCATCCTCAATATGTTATGATCCCAGAAATATGTCCTTGATAAAACAGCAGTCCCACAGCCATCAGTCCAGGGGAAGGGGAGTGGGAAATGACTCCCTGCCATCCCAGGCACTGGGATGTTGACGGACTCAAGCAGCTGTGGGAGGAAGGTGGGAACAGGCCAGCAGGTTTGATCAGAGGAGGTGGCAAATTACAGAACCAAGAGGGAAAGAGCCCAGAGTGGCTTAACTCAGGTAAAGTAGCTAAAACACTTAATTTTTGCCCTTGTTGATACTATTTCGGTGCCTCCGTCTATAACATCTGGTTGCCTTAGATACATGAGGTAACTACGGCAACTAGATATTACGAGGAGAAGGATAAGAAATAGATTAACATTACTGAATTTGGCAGGCTCTAAAATAGCTCTTCTGTAAAGCAGAGGCAGGTGCAGAGGGTGCATCAGCACCGTGGGACAGTGAATGGCAAAGGTGGCCACAGCAGGACAACACCCTGGCTTGAGGCTGTGTAAGCATGTGGGCCCATTACCCCTTTACATCTGCTTGGAGCAGAATTAGTGGCCAGAGAGTACCAAAATACTTGGGATGCTCAAAGGGGTTGCCCAGTATTTGTCTTGGAGCTATTTTCACAGTAAGTCATTCCATCCCCACCACCCCACCCTCCCCAAACCTCTTCACCTCAAAACCAAGAAAGATTCTGGGAAGTACAAGTTGTCCTCCCCAGATTCCTAACTAAAAGGGGGATATATGAGGTGAAAAGATTGTGGTGACCAAAATCGCTGTGAGCCTGAACACGCTCACATCCTAAATATCACTTCAGTGGCACAACTGACACCATGCCTTGGTAATGCAACATACAGTAGTGCCACAGAACAGATCAGAAAATGATGCACAGTTCTCATCTACTGATAATTTTGGTGCTTTTCAGAATAAATAGTTAAGCTGTTGGAAGGCAAGCAGCTTTCAGACTGTGTGTGGTGGTTGTTTTCCCCGCAGAAAGTCATTAAAGTGCACTGAAACACTCCAGTGACCTCTTTGCTCTAGACAGTAGGGAGGAGTGGGTGTTCCCAGATTTGAAACCATCCAAGACTGCCAGAAAGACGTGTTTATGCCCAAAATGTCTGTCTGACTTTTTTTTTTTTTTTCTGGCTTGCAGGAAAAGCTATGTTAATAAATCGCCTGAAAAGCTGGATCCACATGCTGTCTGAATATCCTTCACCATGATTATTCCTACATAGAAATTTTCCCTACATAGCTAGGACAAAGCCTTCATTTCTTATTTGACTCAAAACTACAGTCATTTACAGAAGGAAGCCAGCACCACTGCTCCATCTGATGTATTTCATTAAAAATACTTGTAGGATCAGGGTGTTACAGTAGCCAACCAGCTACAGTTCTGTAAATGAAAGGCATCACTCATTAACCCTGGGAACACTGTCTTCCAGACCACAAAGGGCGCTGCCTTATTATATTACTTACATGTGAAATCTGAGCACCTAAACTAGAAGGTCCCCACCTTTTCACCTCAGCAGGCTGCTCGAGTGCAGTCTGCGGAGTTTTGCTTCACTTAGCATGTTTTTCTCATTAAACAGGCTAGTTGGTAACTGAAGTAAGTCCCTATTTTTCCCAGTAAATTGCCCTCAGAATTCTTTGCTATTTATCTTCAGAGATGAGAATTGGTTAGATGAACAGTAGTGAAATTCAGACTCAATAAATGTAAGTAATACACGCCGGAGGAGTAATAAGACTGTTTTCAAGCACCTTAAGGGCTCCAAACTACTACCACAATTTTGTAAAGCAACCCAGGTGGCAATGCATAGCTCAGTTAAAGTCATTGCTTAATATGCAACCAAAAATGCTGAAAAGATATTGGAAAGTTTAAAGAATGTGTGCAAGTTAAAAAAAAATAAATAAAAAGGAAAAATTTAAGATAATTTCAAATGCCTGAGCACCGGGCAGACTCCGGTATAATATTCTGTATTTACTGTTCAAACTATTTCAGAAAAGGTATCACAAGGGTTAGGAGGAATTTCATAAAGAATAGCAGGTGAGAAACCTTTCCAGTTAAAGTGACGTCTGAAGGAGTGAGACAATATTCACTAGGAAGCAGAAAACTAGGAGGGGACCTGAGAACAAGCATGGAGAATAAGAAATGATCTGGAGAGATTAAGAGCTTCTCTTTTTCCTTCTTGGTAATACAAATAGTGAATATTCAGCAAATTAGAAGCTGGGAAGTGCACAACATAAAAAAGGAAACACTTTTACACAGCCCGTGCAATTTAAATCCCTGGAGATGGCTGTGAAAGCAATATAGGAGGTTACTGCCTAGATCCCCTTTCCTATTTTGTACCCGCCCTTGCAGACACTTGAAGGACCGTGTGCTGGCTCTTTGGTCACCCCACATCACCAGCTGAAACCTTGGCTTGAAACCTGAATGAAAGTGGCCATGTAGCATGACGTCTGAGGTCTGGCAGCTAGGAGCTGGGGTACATGCTCTGCTCTACTTCATTATGAGACTGACAGCCAGCAACAGAGAGGTAGTAACAAGTATGTAATGATACGGAGCTGCAGCTGCTGGCTCAGCGAATATAGGTCAGAGCTACAAAACTTTAATCTACGGAGGAAGCATGAATGTCAAAAACATAATTAGATTTGAGCAGGATTGCAAATTGTGGGGGTAACCAGAGACCTCAGAGTTCACCCAAATTAACTGATAGAGAATTTATCTCTTTCCATGTAGATGCAAATGGGACTAAGCAGCAAGACCTTCTGAAGACACGGTGACCTTGTCCAATATTTCAGAAAATTTGCAAACTTTTTCCACCCAGCAGGCAACATAGGGCCAGGACCTTTCAACAGCAGTGCTGCAAGCTCACCTCTGCAGTCTGCTGTTCAGACACTATTAGCTGGGCAGTGTTCAAAATGAGCGGTCCAGTAGAGGAATGGGGTCACACCACCACAGCTTGGCACAGAGAAGCAAGTTGTTGTTTCTGGGGCCACAGTCCGCCAGAATACGGGTTCATCACAGAGTGCCAAAGAGTGATGTATATACGTGAAGCATCAATGTGTGCTAAACAGTGATGTATATATGTTAAACAGTGAGCATCACCGTGTGTTAAACCAAGAAGAAATCTCAAGCCAGACAGAAATTTCACAGAAATCAAGTAGCTTTTTACCTGTGAAGAAGTTCCCTTTTGACAATTCAAACCCATCTTTAGAGCTTTATTGCCTGTAAAATTGTTGAAGGTGATTCCCTCATCGTCACCAAATTGCCATGTTAATGTCGTAGCCAAATGTAGGAGGACAGGCGAGGGCAGGGTTCCTTCTGTGGGCTGGAGGAGTAGAAGGGCTGGTAGCAAAGCTGGTGTTTGGGGGAGGAGCAAAAATGTCAGGTTAGGAAACATTATGACTTAGAAAGTAAAATACAGGCTTCAGTTTTATGAGGCCTTCGCAAGAGCATTTTTCTTGACGTGTGCCAATATTCATATGTGGGCCAGTCACACAAGCAGTGCTGCTAGGTGCAGAACACTTAATGATTCCAGTGGGAAAGTCATATATGGGCTGCTTGCAGAATCCAGGAACCCTGAGTTGCACATAACATCTTTGGTAATGTGACAGTCTTAAGGGGATAAGCTGTTCTAATCAGACTTCCGTTTAGGGAGGGAAAAGAGACCCTTCAAGTCTCGCTCTTTGCAGACATGTCTTTCTCACTGTTAATCTGAAAAGTGACATTGTTTCTTTTCTCTGAGGCGGAGCCACGATTACTTAATTTGTAGCCACCGAAGCCTATGCCAAAAAGTTTTGTGAAAAGAAGCATAGATTTTCACAGTGCACTTGAAAACTAAAATGGGGACAGAGAGAGCAAGACCTAAGTCTAGTGAAAACTCAGTGTACGAGGTAGTATCCCACTGGGATGAGGGTTTAAGCCCCCCTGCATGAGCTCTATCTCAAGGAGCAGGGTGAAGTAAGGCTATCCGCTCGAGATTAGGGTTTTTTCTTTATGGTGCCATACAGTGGTTTGAACACTGTACCTGCCCTTGGTCATTCTCTGATATTCGGGACATTAAGCCCTGCGTTGGTCTACAGAGGCAGAAAAGCAGCCTGGGCTTTGTGTGATGGGACCTGCTTTTTATAGAACTGGGTTATTGAGACTGGTTTGAACACAAAGAAGCCAACTAGACTCGTCCATGGCCACTAAGCATCTGAGGCTCACCAGCCTTCCATGAAACACCAAATGGCTCATCTTTGGGTGATTTCGGAAGTGAGAAAAGATTTTCAGCAAGAAAATCTTTCTGGTGCCTTTGTCTTTAAATCTATATGCATGTAACTTTGGGGAAAACAGAGAAAAAATTCTTTCAGAATGAATCCACTTGCTTAAGAGTCAAGTACTATGTATTTACTATATACTATTAATATCACTTTTCAGCATTGCAATTCACTCTTTAACCAAGCATGTAATGCCTCTGCTTTGTTAAAAGCTATCTTAGGCGAACCCAAGTTCTGTTTGTGTTGTTTTTGATGGAGTTTGAATCAGTACACAAATATTCAACTATTTTTTAACACTGTGTGTGATAGCTACTACTGCAATGAAAGACTACCAGGATATTACCAGGCTGCCAATATTTGCTTTAAAAATGTAACTTCTTATTGTAGCAGTGTTACAGTTTCATACCTTTTTTTTTTTCTACTATATGTAATCTTTGTTCATAAATTTACAATCTTACATTAATGCTTTCCTTTTTAGGATATATGTATGCTCTTCACATATAAGCTAGATTTTAGCCATACATCTTTCTTTACAGAAATGGCAATTGGGAAATACGCACAAATGTATTTCGTATTTAAAACTCAGTGTCATCAACAGACTCAAAAGTACAGAAGTTATAGTAGTTATAAAAGGAATATTTTTCTCTTTGTTGAGTTTGTTAAACAGAATGCAGTTCTCACCTTAGGAAAGCATGTCCAGGTTAGACTTAGCAGGAAAAAGTTACTTCCATATTATAATTTTCAATAGAGTAAATTGATTTTTCCCCCCCTCCAGAATTTCTACTCTCAAAGACAGCTCAGAAATGAGAAGACTTCTAGGAAAGGATTTGAAATGGAGACAACTCTTGTCCCAGTACAACAAAAGTCAGAGAAGAAAGCTTTTAATCGAGCACAAAACAGTCTTTGATTTCAAAGTTTTAATTTCTAGCTGGCATGGGACCAATAAAAGCAATCATTTCCTCTTTAGATTTTGTTTTCTACTAATTGAATGTCTGCTCTTGTAAAGCATGTTAGTGAGTGGCACACAGCGCTGGCTGCAGCCCAGCTAGCTGAGCTCCTGAGTTTATCCACTTGGTAAAACACATAATTATGTGCATTGTGTTCACGGAGCCCAAGGTCCCACTGACTTTGACAGCTGATAAGATCTCATTTTAAGACCATCAGCATCTGTTCATAAATTATTATTCCTCCCATTCAGATTTCAGTTACGTTATTTGCTGTGGCTGTTTATCCTTGTTGGCTAAGGATTTCAAAGCAGCTTCAGGGATTTAGATACATTTTCCATTTTGTGTCCATATTTACATTTCCTTGAAGAACCCCGGTTACCCTATTTATAGACCCTTGTTAAGCTCCATGGGCAAAGCAACCTCATGGACTTTGGACACAAAATTTATACGTTTCACTTAAGGATTGGTCAATGGGTGAAACAGGCTAAAATATGTATTCAAAGAGCACAGGAATAATATATTCTGTGTATATAGTGGTCTGAAAACAGGAATACAGGCTTGAACCAGGGCATCAGTGACCTAATTTAGACATTAGGAAGAATTACTCAGTGATAGAGAAGTAACATATTAAGACTATATTGCCATGGGATGCTGAAGTGTTTCCATCTTCAAAAGGAGCATGACCAGCTTCTTTTGAAGCTGAAGGAAGGTGATTCTACCCCTGTACTCCGCTCTGGTGAGACCCCACCTAGAGCATCCAGCTTTCGGGTCACCAGCACAGGAAGGACATGAACATGTTGGAGCGAGTCCAGAGGAGGGCCACCAAGTCTATTAGAGGGATGGAACACCTCTCCTATGAGGAAAGGCTGAGAGAGTTGGGGTTGTTCAGCCTGGAGAAGGCTTTGGGGTGACCTAATTGTGGCCTTTCAGTACCTGAAGGGAGTCTAGAGGAAAGATGGAGAGAGACTTTTTACCAAGAGCATGCAGTGACAGGACAAGGGGGAATGAAATCAAACATAAAGAGGACAGGTTTAGTTTAGATATTAGGGAGAAATTCTTCACTGTGAGGGTGATGAGACATGGGATCAGGTTGCCCAGAGAAGCTGTGGATGCCCCATCCCTGAAAGTGTTCAAGGCCAGGTTGGATGGAGCTCTGAGCAACCCGGCCTAGTGGAAGGTGTCCCTGCCCACAGCACCGGGATTGGAACTAGATGATCTTTAAGGTCCCTTCCAACTCAAACCTTTCTACGGCTCTGTGGTTTTGAGGGCAGGTTAGGTTGTATGGTATTTCATGTGCAGCCGTGCCTCCTTCCAGGCTGGCTCTTCAGGATCCCTCTGGCTTTGTGGCTCTGCAGTTTCGCACAGCTCGTGGGGACAGCGTTCCCCGGGGCCGAAGTGAGGATTGCTGAGGGCGGCGGGGGCGTGAGGTAGCGCGTCAGAGCTGAGGGCTGCCGGTCTGGGTCGGCTGCCTGCGCCTCGCTTCGCTCGCCGTACAGCAAGCAGGCTCTCCCTCCTCGCTCTCCTGTTGGGAGGCCGGGAGAGGCCGTGCCCGGCGGGGACAGCAGCCCTCGGAGACAGGGGCTGGCGGCGAAACGCGCCTTCCCCTCCTCCCCTGCTCCGGGCGGGCCCCGCCGCCGTCCCCTCAGGGCACGGCTGCCCTGCGGCGCCACCGCGCGGCCCCGGGCGGCACAGGCGGGGCGGGGACACCGCCGCGGCGCTGCCGGAGGGACCGCCTGGCTGGCCGACCCCAGCCTCGTATGTAGAGGTGTATACATCCAAACGTGTGCGCGTATGCATGGCTGCTAAAGGCGTTACGTGTGCCTGCCCCATAGCAAACAGAGATCTGCTTATTCCCATGCGGCGCTGTCAGCATCTGCTCCGATCTCGCGCGCAGTCAGGAATCCATAAGCTATCACGCACGATGCTGGCACCGCTCAGGAGAGCCAGCGTTCTTCGTGCACACCGGCGGCACGGAATAACACACCACGCTGGGACTCCTAAGTTTCCATTTTGATCACATTGCTCAAACATGATAATGACTCACCCACCATACCGAAAACCGTGACCTTTGTATTAGCACCAAAAAAGGAATGATAAGCTTAGGACAGGGAAAGAATACTAGAGAAAAGGGGAAAAAAAGCACATAAAATCCCCAAACCCAAGCATGTCTTTACTCTTTGAAGCATAGTCAGCTGCTGTTATTCAGATACAGGCTAAAGAAGTTGTGGCTGTGATTGGGTTTGTTTGGCACGAACTCCAAGGGAATCAAGTCAGTGGCTCTGCAGTCCCTGAAGCAGGCATATTCTGGTCACAATAAAGCAGGGTGGGCTTTATAATAAAGCAAAATAAATGGGCTTTTTGTGCCCACTCATCCAGTAAAGGAACCATGTGAGATTTTTCAATTTGGAAATAGACTCCATCTTTGATTTAGAGCAATCCTACCCTTCAGTTTATCCCCAGAAACAAAAAGTAACAGAATCACAGAAGATGTTGTGTTGGAAGGGACCAAAAAGGATCACCAAGTCCAACTCCTGGCCCTGCACAGGACCATCCCCAAGAATAACACTATGTGCCTGAGAGTATCGTCCAAATGCTTCTTGAACTCTGTCAGGCTTGGTGCTGTGACCACTTCCCTGGGAACAAAATGCTGGCATTGAAGAGTGCTTACTGTCAAAGTAACGCAAACATGGAGATACAAAAGGAAACAAATCTTCAAGACCTTTAAAAATTGTTAATGGGACAGAATTCTTTATTGTGTTTTTCCACCTCCTCCCAAGGAAGAACAAAACCACTAAGCTAATTTCTAGTATTTTTGATCAACAGAGCACCAGCTGGAACAGTTACTACAATGCAGATAAAAGTGTAGTGTAGTGGCCATGAATGGGACCTGACAACATGACTTTGAAGAGAACAGACTCAAAGCATATCAACATTTAAATATAGTAGGCCAGCCTGACTGACAAAACCTAGGCACTTCAGTGCTTTAGTGGATTTTTTTATGCCTCTATCATACTTGGAGCATCCTTTCAGACAAAGGGGACAAAACCCTTGCAATGAATTTTTTGTAAGTGTGTAAGTGAAGAAAGTGAACTGGACAGGTTTCTAATGTATCCGTGAAGTGTTTCACATCCAGCAGACAAGTTGGATCCATGGGGTGAGGATGAAAAGAACAGGGGGTTCAGGAAACATTTATGAGTAGCCTGCTGAGATGATCATTAGAGCTGCTTGCATCCATCCCATTCTCCAATACATTAAAAAGGGTGTTCTCAGAAGGAAATTTGTCTGTGCACCAGTGGGCAGCTGCATTTTTAAGTAGAAACCCCTGTTAAAGAAAATTTTTCTGTGTTATAGTATGAGCTCGACCATCTGTTGTCTAGCTCATTTATCACCAGCTAAGCTTGCAAAAAACCCAATGAGGAACTGAAATGGTGCAAAAGGCAAATGTCCTTGGGGAGACTGTTTTGTAATTCCCACAGGGAGCAAGAACTTTTGTGCTTTAGCAGCACCTACAGCACGAAAAAGATAAATGAATGTTAGAACTGAACAAAACCAGAGAGAATAAAGAAAGTAAGCTGCTTCATAAAGGCTATGTAATAGAGAACTGTGATGGCAAGCCTGCATGCTGAGAAACACCTCCTAAATCCTCATTTAAGATGCTTCAAATAATTGAGACTTTGTATAAATAGCTTTCCATTAAAATCCAGTGAAGATCAATAGGAACAGCCTATTAGGCCAGTAGTTTCTGAATTTGAAATGGTTTGTCCTTATGTGCTGCCTATGGCCAATTTCAGTCCGTTTTGTATACAATGATTTTTTTTGAGAGACACACACACAGGCCTGATTTCACCTGATGGAAACCCTGGATCAGTTGCTGGCTGCTTCTTCCTTCCCCTATGGGAAAGAGAGGACCCAGGTCTCACTGGGTAACACTTGGTACAGGCCACTGGAAACAACAAAGCCTCCAGGATTCTGCTGCCCACCTTGCCTCCTCCAGAGGGGCAGGAGTCATATCCAGCAGCGGCAAGTTGCTGTCTTCTCCCCACATTTCCACAAGGCAGTGAGAACGGGGAGCACAGCCCTTTCAGCCTCAGCTCCTTGCTCCAGCTCCAGCCTTGCTTCTCACCCTCCCCTTCCTACAGGCGAGAAGTTGGAAGGCCCATCCCCAGGCACAAGATAAAGTTTTTAGACCTATAGCCAGACAAAGGCACAATAGGGGGGAACTGGGCGAAACCTTGGGGGTTTCTGTCATTTTAGAAACCAACTGGGGAAATGGTTCTATTAGAAAAAAGCTTCCAAACTTTTGAGGAAAGAGAAAAGGTGGAAAACGAGGAGGGCTTATACTCCAAGTAAAAGAGCACCTTGAGGACATGGGCAAGAGGGCAGGTCAGCTAAGTGCCTTCAGGTCAAAATCAGAGTTGTCACCATCAAGGGACTGTGGTGGAACTTGTGGTAGGTGTCTGCTATGGAGGACCTGACAGGTCAAGAGAAACAACAGATAAAATCTTCTTCAAACCAATTGAAGACTGACAGTGGCAGCCTTGGTTGCACTGATAAGATTACCCTACGGACTGTGAAGAAGGTGTGTAGAAGAATAAAGCCCCAGACCTTCATAGGAGGAAATTTCATCTTGCTCAGGGAGCTGTTAGAAGGTATCCCAGAAGAGTCTGTCTTGGAAGCCAAAGGTGACCAGCAGCATTAGGAGACTGAAGGGACAGCATTCTCCAAGCACAAGAGCAGTCCATCCACCTAAGCAGGAAAAGGAGCAGGCACAGCAAGAAACCAGCTTGGTTGAACAGTGGGATACTGAGAGAACTGAGGTGCAAAAAAAGGAACATGACAGTGATAGAAAGGGGAACAGGCTTCCAAAGCAGAATACAGAAATACCACTTAGGCATGCAGAAATGCAGAAAGAGTAAAGCCCAGCCACAGCCCAAACTGGCAAAAGATGTCAAGAACAGTAAGAAAGTACTAACATACTGCATGTGTGTTAGCAAGCAGAAGGACAAGGAAAAGGTAGGTCCACTGTTAAATAGGGTTGGCAAGTTGAGGGGAGACAGAGGGAGACCTGAAGATTTTCCTTCATCCCTTCTTTGCCTTGATCTTCATGAGGAAGGTCATCCTCCCAAGTCTCTATGGAAGCAATGATGGAACAAATAATAAAATGCTGACAGTGAAAGAAGGCTGAGTAGCTGAGGTATGTGTTGGCTTCTCCCAGTTGCCTTCTCCTTCATGCCTGGAAATAGCTTCCAAGAGTTCCATAATTTTTCAAGGTACTCAAGTGAGGTTGACTAATCTGTAATTTCCCAAATATTTCTTTTTCCTCTTTTTGTAGATGGGTGTAATATTTGCCCTTTTCCAGTCAGCTGTGACTTTTTCTGAACTCCATGACCTGTCAAAGATGTTAAAGTGTGCAGTGATGTTGGCAAACCCTCTCAATAGCCTCACATGCATTCTGTCAAGTCCCATTGACTTTTATATGACCTGCTTGTACAGGTGGTCCCAAAAACTCCTGAGCTCCTTTGCTTTCCTTGGAAACTTTTCTAACACTTTCCCGTGAAGCTGAAATCAGGAGCAATTTCACATGTGGTCATCTGCATATATTGTATAGAAATGTGAGACCGTCAACAGAAATATGATACAACAGACCTGTCAACTTTGATGTAAGTAAAAACTGGTGCAACGTCCGAGGATCAACGAAGTGGTCAGGCAAGCTAAGGAATGAACCAGAAGGGCTGTGGTAATCCTCAGCCAAAGCAAAGAAACCATAAGCCAGGTAGCCAAAAGAAAAAGAAGAAGAAAGAAAAAAGAATGTTAGAACATATTGGATCGGACACTCTGGCATGCTTGTCTACTGCATCATGGTTCCTTAATGCTATGCTGTCACTGCCTTGTTCATAAGCCAGAGAGAATTGTAATAAAACAGTTTTACCCTAAGTTCATGCTCATGTATGCTCACATTTTACAACACAACAGATGTTGGACAATGTGAAAAGTGTGCTGGAGGGCCTGAAGGCAAGACTGGAACAAACCTTGCTGCAGAAAGGACACAATCAGCTTGGAGGTCACAACCAACTTTGATGCCCACCAGAAGGACAAAACAAGCAACCACAGTAACAAAGTGAGAGCAATGGGAAACGCAGGCATATGCGAGGGTCTGCCAAGGTACTGGTGGAAGTGAATTCTCCAATCGTTGTAGATTATTTTTAAGGCTGGAGGGGGTGTGGGGTGGTGAGGGAGCACTGTTGCCTAATTTGAATGGAGGTATCTATAAAACTATAGGTCTATTAAATACCTGATTAGCACAAAGACATTCTTCAGCAGGGTTCTGTTTTATGATAGACACAGAGGTGTAATTGCTCAGATACCATCAATATAATAAAAGGAAGGGAACTTGAATGGACAAGTGGAAATGACATTTTAGTCATGCTACTCCCAGGTGTGCTGTAAGCCTTGCAGAGTTATTTCCAGTCTCTGTGTGAACATGTAGCAAAGTACACAGATTAACAGCAGTTACTATCTATATTGATCTTTAATGCCATAGTGTGTTCCATGGGGATAAGAAGGACTTGTCCAGTGCCCTCGAGCAAAAGACTGTTCCTGTTTTCCCATGGCTATGTGCAGAATTACTGTTGTCCTTCCAGGTCTGAAGTGGCTGAGTTTCAAGAACACCTAATATATTCACCATGGATAAGGCATGTGACTCCTCAGACTAAAAGACTTGTAAAAATGCATGCTGTGCAGGAGGAAGTTTCAGCTGGAATCAGTGCCTAGTTCTCAGCAGTAAAGCATTACCACACGAGATCTATGAGAGCTCCTATTTGGTTCTGTGCATGAGTGGAATGTGCATTGTGGCACATACCATGGAAGGGAAGTACTTCTTGTTAAAACAATTCTACATATGAAAAATGTTACAAAAGCCTAACCAGGGATGTATTTATATTAATATTTTGCTCCTTTTTTTAATAGGCACAGGCATATAATAATGTCTTTTATTTTCCCCATTAATTGAAATAAAATCTTCACTTTTTCTCAAATAAATCTTTCAGATTTTTATTATCATTAATTATGTGTATTACAATAGCAGCCAGAAGCCTCCAAATTAGTGCCCAATGCATAGGTCCCTGTTGTACAAACAGATGTTAAAACCAGCCCCAGCTCCAAACTGATGAAAAAAGAAATCACGAGGATAAAGAAGTCCCTTTGGGATCCATGTCTAAGCAGTCAGGCAGAGACCCAGGGAGCATGCAGCATGCTGATGGCTGTGATATTGTTTCTTCACTTTTGAGTAGACTCTGGAGGAAGAAAAAGAATTGGACCTCTTGGTGCATCACATTTTCCATACAGGACCTTTTCTTCATGCTTGCTGATGATCCCAGTTTCAATCCTTGCTCAGTAGGAACCTGAAATTTAGTGAGTAAAAAAAATGTGTCCTCATTGAGGACACGTAGTAAATTCCCATTGTCTCCTCTCAAACCAGGATTTTGAGCTCTCTGGTCTCTGGTGGTGGATACAAACCAAAGGAAGAAAGAAGCTCCAGAGGGAGGAGAAGAGAGACTTTCAGACAGGTAGTTTACCCAGAGATGAGCACAAGAATTCAGTCCCACCTGCCCTGTAAATGGGGCTGGTTGAATGCTTTCCAGCAGGACTGATGTCCTGGAGAATGCTTTCCAGGAAAATACAACTGAAAAAATTAAGATGAAGTGGGAAAATAGCTGCACCACCTTGCCTGAAGGGGGTTCTGCTGCCTTGTCCCTGTTACACCAGTGCCTAGGGGATAGAGAGTTACTCCAGAGGAGACTAGAAAGAGATTATAAAAGATCCAGCAGGAAAGACAAAGAATACCACAGATAAGAGAGCCTCAGCCACAGGCCTTCAGAGAAGCAGAGGTAGCTTGGGCCATCACTGAATCTACCTGCCTGGCTAAGTCTAAGCTAGGGTAGTCTAGTTTTATGAAGGCCACAAGACTGGTTGCTCATGCACACTTTTTGTCAGCCACCCAAGAGAGAGTCTTGCCTTTATAATGAACTTTACATCCCAGGTATATAAGCAATGCAGAATTATTCTCCTGAGGGGTGAAGGTGGCTAAGTGCATCTTTTTGTTTTATGCATGAGAAGCTCATCATGACAGTGGTCACCTTGTCAGCTTTATAGGTACTCTTCCCTCATAGAGCAAATAGAGCAGCTATACAGTGAACCTCAGCTTTTAAACCTTCCTGGGGAGGAGCTTTCCCTACCAGAGACCTTTTCCACCAGGGAAGCCAAAACTACACTAGATAAGAGATCCCTTTGCTGTCTGGCAGGAAACACAGCACTTGCCTTCCTGAAGGCTCAGGCTGCACATAGGTTCCTGCAGTGCTCATATATGCAGCAGAATGTCAGAACATTTCCTCTTGTCAGAAAATCATTAAAAATCTTATACTTTTCTCTTGAGAGTTCCTTGAGACTCTGTTCCCTTCACCTTTTTCTCCACAGTGGCTGCTGGAGGAGGCTTAAGGATACTGGACCTGAACCAAAGCCAATTGAGTAGCCGACACTCCCTTCTAAACACAACTACTATTATTCTTTAATGCCAAACCTTTGGTCCCATTGCTCATCAGTTCTCAGTGTGACAGTGGCTATACTATGACTTCAGCTCATACAGGCCAAGTTCTGGCAATAGCTTCATGCTACCTAAATAAGTATCTTCTTATTAATGAAAATATCAGAGGGAATGACAAAATTGTTTGAGCAGATGAAGGAACATGTGTTTGACCCTGATCAAATTCTCCATCTTTGGGCAACTCCTCCCTCTTCTGTCACTGAGGAAATACACACAGCTGGTTATCACAGACCCTTCCTCCACCTGCTACCAGCAATGTGTCTTAAACTATAGCAATGTTATTCCTGAAGCAGCATACCAGGCACGCATCACTCTCATCTCCAGAGGTTTGAACTCCACTGACAAAGTGCAATAAGGCAGAGGTGAATCAGGGTCACTATAAATGCTCTTTGCTTGAGATTAATCTGATATGCTTTTAAGGCATATCAGCTCTATTTTGCCTGTTATCATCTGCTTGTGGCAGCATCACACACAGCTATTTATACCCACATGTTAATAAAGGGCAGATCAGGATCTTGGCTCTGGCACTGGTTTGAGACTGGAGCATCTGCTTCCTTGGGGAAAGATGGAAAGGGCTGATGTCACCAGCCAGATCACCACAGGGAGGCAAAGGCTGGCAGTGGCACCACAGCTTCCTTCCACCACCAGAGGCCCAAGACCCAGCAAAATGGGTACAGCTTAGTTGCAAAAAGAAAACCCCAAGGCAGCGCTCAGGGTCCCCATGAGTCTGGTCCTCTGCCATGTTGTTCCCTCTCTGGGAGCGCCCTGCACACCCGACCAGCAGTGTTCTCCTCCTCACAGAGTCCCTAGACCAAAGGATCTTAACTCCCTTTTGCCGCTTGCCAGGGAGAGGTGCCAGGGAATGAGGGTCAGGAAGGGAGCCCATCGCCCCATGGGGGAGAGGAGAAAGCTCTGTTGCTGCTTCTGCGATGTGCGGGCAGAGCGCCCAGCTTCACGTGTGCGCCTGTCCCCATCCGTCACCTCCTCAGTGAGAGCACCACCACCACTGGCATGTATGTCACAAGGGTCCTTTCCAGCTGTAAAATTTCCCAAGAGACACCAGGGGCAGCAACAGTCTCCCAGTCTGTCACGACACCTGGGATTTTGGCAGTGCGGCGGCAGCCCCACGCCCCATCAAGGGCTGCCTGTCAGCGCCCTGGCCCGCAGTGAGGACACCGTTTCCCTTCAGTTCAACACCTTCTCCGAGAAGTGTCCCAGCTTCCCCTCCTCCTGCACGGGCTGTGAGGCTTGTCCACAGCAGGACGGGCCACGCTCCTGGGCCAGGGCTACACCAGGCCACCGTGGCCCCCCACTCCCTGGGGCTGGGGAGGCACCCTGCAGCTCTGCACACTTCTCCTTGTAGTGCTGGGCATTGCCGGCAAAAGTCTCGCAGCGGCTAAGGTTTTCTTCCTGCACGGGGCTACCCACGTTCTCCTCGTTCGGCCCAGAGGCCGTTGTCCCCTCCTGAGAGTTTTGGCTAAGGTAGACAACGATGATGTCGCCCTTGAAATTCATTACTTGTCCACTTGAGATAAAGGTGGAGTTACTGTTTCCAGTCACATTTCCTGGGGAAGGAGAGGGGAGAAAAGAAGACAGTCATGATTAATATTTTCCCCTCACAAGGTGGACGCTTAGCGCAGTGAACTTAATCTGCTGTGGTAGCTTTCCTCTTGTTCCACTATTTTTTCCCCCGTGACATGAGGATGCTCTTAGAATCAATGCCTTCCATTGGGCCTTTTAATTATTTCCATTTTTGTCTCCTCAGGACAAAGTCTGTCATATAAAGGAGCCTGTCTGGAAGGCTTGGAAATATTTTCTCTCTGAGCTGTGATCTGGGAAGCAAGAGAGAGTGGGAGGATCTCATGTTCCCTGTACTGCCTGATGCACAGGCTGTGTCCAACTTACCTGTGGTTTGTGGTGTAATTATTTCTAATTATGAGATTTATTACAGTCCCAGAAATCACACTGTTTAACAGCAGGGAAATAAAACCCCAATCAATCACACAATGTGGGCTAGGTAGTAGGCTTACTGAAATACTGAAAGGCTTAGCGTCAGATCACACAGTCACACAGTGCCCCAATGACATGGAGCTTATATGATTATCTTATATTGTCCTGATCCTCTATGTAGGTACACTCTGGTACTCACCTAGCACCCTCATGGATTTACCTGGATATATACCAATTCAAGTGAAGAGACTGAGTCTATATTATAGTAAACTAACAGAGTTACAGTTTCAGTCAGTCTGCCTGCAATTAGAGATTTTTCAGTAAAAATTCAATCTTTCTGCTATTCAAGAGATGGGTCACTGATTCAAGTGACAGCAGGACCAGGCTCTGGGAATTAATAAACTCCGCAGAGCAGAAAGAAAATAACTGGGAACAAACTTTCAACGTCAAACTAACAAGTTTGTTAAAGTTTGAAAATTAAAAAAACCAAAGGAATCAAGTAAACAAAATCTTCCTAGCCTGGGAACACACCTCCTAACAAATGTTTTTCCGGCTGTGCTTCACTTAATCATGACTTGACTAGTCTGAGACCTTTTAGATGTTTTGTGCCTTTCCTCATTACATTCTTCAACACTTCAGACGTTCCCATTTTCATTGCAGCTAAGCGTAGCCCAGCCCAGTAAAATGCTGTTTTTCCAGCGGCCACGGGTGATGTTTGCACATCAGCAATGGACACTGGGCTCCAGCTGTGCAGAATTAGGACCTGTGCCTGCTCATAACTGAGTATGGGTAGCACTTGGGCATCTCTCTAATTGGCCCCCCTAAGCAATCTTATTTCTTTCAGCTAAACCACTGCATTGCCAGCTCTCTGCTTTCTTTCCAAGTGTTGTTGATTAACATGAGGTGTCCATAAGAGTTTTCTCTGCGGGAGTTTTTCTGTGCCAGTTGTTCCCCCTATGTTCAATTCAGTTTGGCTGTTTGCCATCAACAAAACTCTTGGGCATAATGGGAGTACAAAAATAACTGTCTTTAAACAGATTGCCTGTCACTAGCAAAAGGTGCTGTGAAGTTTATGAGTGCTCAGTACAAGATCAAGAATATAAAAATATATGTGGCAGTGGGGAGGGAAATAAAAAAAAAAAAGGTAGATTAACACATAACTTTTAGTTGAATGTGGCTGGCAAATCTTCAGTGCTTTCTGAAGACACCATGCTGAAACAAAAGAATATTTGAGGCCCAAAAGCACACAGAATGGACACATGAGCTTCCTGGACTGTACTAAGTGAAGTGGTTCCAACCTGAAAAGCTTAAGGGACACTTTCAGAGTGAAAGTGTCATTCTCTGCAGTGTTTCAGCCTTTTGATCTCTTCAGACTATCTGATGATATTAGTTACAATGACAGATTAATCTTTGTGGTAATTGTTCACTAAGAACTGGGACAACAGAGGTGAATAATTTTCTCTGAGACATTTAATGTCCTCTAGGTGGTAAGAACTGTTTGTTGCTGCCAAACCAGGCTGGTTTGGGATCTGGAAGTGAAAGGCTCTGCAAAACCATCTCTTACTGTGAGTCACCTAAATCTTCCTGCACTCATGCGTTATGCTGTAGCCCTACACAGGACTTGAGGTGGGCATGAACCGACGTTTCACGCTCTGACTGCCTCCAGGCTTGTGAGGTTTGAAAGCGTGCTTGAAGGCTTACCTCTATCTCCAGTGGTGACCCCTGTAAATGGCACCTGTGCAGAGGTTCACTTTGGTCCTCTAGGGTTGTTTCACAGGAGGGACAGAGCTTGATGTTTCTGTTGTCATTTTAAGTGTTAGGGAACTAAAACCAAAATGTCATAGAATTTCGTCCCCATTTTCCATCGACCCTCTTTTGTATCATTCCGTCTTAGCAGGACTGTGTGCAAAGCCTGGTGGCTTCAGTTGCTTTGAGAAGCTTTACAGAAAGTTATTTTACAAGCACATTTATTCCATCTAGGCATTTCACAAGGCCTGGCAAAATGACCGATGCTGATGCAGCTCCACGTGCAGGCCCAGTGTGGCTGGGGTGCTTTGGTGTGGAATCTATGGCTAAGCCCTGTCCCAGTCCTTTTGCAACCACGTGTTGCCAGCAGGGCATAGCCATTCTGTGGACAGAAAAATTACTCTGCCAGCAAGCCACATTACCTACAGATTAACTAGCCCACACTCTGATACTGCCCACAGCTCAGTCAGTACCTTCCTACAGTCGTACCTAAAAAATGGTGGATTAGGAACACAGTATCTGTGCTCAGGTTTCACCAGATGGCACTAGAGCATGTACATATCTGAAAGCACAAACACAATTAAAATCCTATATAAAGAATTATGCTGCAGATCTAAGATGGCACTTTCTAGCATGTCGCTTAAATTCAAGCTCTCCTGTTTGCTCTATTGTCTTAATATTTTCCTTAATATTTTCTCTTTTTCTTTGTGTCAGATTTAGAAAGAAAAGCAGTATCAAATACAACTTTACTTTCAGTTTTATCTCAAGAGTCACCTTCCAACAATAACAAAAAAGATAATTTGTGTTCTCTTTATTTCTGCTGCATTTTGTACAGACCAGACAGCAACCACACAGTTTCAGGATTTCAGGAAACTGAAGCAGCAGAAAGAGTTTTTGCTCTTCAGAAGATGAACACTACACACTTTCAGACTCCCATATGGCATGCATGTTGAGAGAGGAAGGACCTTCAAGTGTGTTGTTTTGGGGCTTTGGCAGACTAACAAGAATGTCTCTGTAAGAAACTTTAAGGCACAACATGGTTTTAAAGAAGGACATCTTACAACTGCTGTGGTATTACAGTAATACTTGGATGTCCTACTCAAAACTAAAGTCTCATTATGCTTGGCAGTGCATCGATAGAAATAAAAATAGAATATCTGACTTTAAGATTTATAATCTAAAATGACTAATAAGACATGACAGGCAGATTGCAGACTTTTATACCGAAAAAAAGTCTGAGGGAAGAAGGTTTCATCCAGAGAAGGCTCATAACTTCCCTTCTGCTGGTTTTGTTTTGGTGATTTTTTTCCCCTGTTTTCATTTGACAATTTTGATATATTTACTCGATAAATTGGTAGGCAGTTAGCAAGTTGGCAGCAGTGTTTCAGAGTTGTTTAGGGGACAAAGCACGTGTGTATGGAGAAACAGTGCCTGTATGAAACTATTTTTATGTGAATGTTTATATCCTGGTGAATTAAAATGAAAGAGCTAAAAGCAGAAAATTGTACATTATCTTTCACACCGCGTGCGGCCACCAGGTTACAGCTCCACCTGGAGTTTCACTGAGCACTGTATAAATGTAACTGGATTTAATCTATTAGCAAAAACATGCATGCAGACTGTTGAATGAAAAATATCTGTCTGAGCATTATGCACTCTTCCTTGACTCAGCCTCTACATCCCTATATTGTCTTATTTCTAAGTTTCCTCCAACACCCACACCTGCTAACAGAGCTGCCTGACCTCTGCAGTGACAGCCAGAAGATGGGTTCTGCATTGCTGGTTAGATCAGGGCAGGACAAATGGTCCCTCGCTGGGTTCATACTATTTGCAGAATTCACCATAAACCAAGTGGCCTTACTACTTCAGGTTTGTTTTTCAGATTAGCTTCAGGGCAATTAAGTGAAAAGGCATCACTTTATTTTTATCCTAAATCAGATCCTCTGAATTCTACTGATCTAGCACAGAGAATAATCCTACACAGCGGTGTACGGGTCAAGCCTAATGGGCTTACCAGATGCTGGAGGGAGGTCTGAAGTGCTGCTGTTTGTCCCTGAAGTGCTTCTGTGTGTCCCTGAAGTGCTTCTGTTTGTGTTTTGGTACTTCTTGTTGGAACTATCTGAAGATGCATCTTCCAAACCATGATCATTTCCTAAAGTGCTCTGACCAGCAGAGAGAAAATTCAAACCACAGGTGCACTGTGCACAGGAGCCAGTTTCTGGGGAGGTGAAGGTACTGTCAGCCACAGCACAACGAGGTTTGTTCCACTTTTGTGGAGATTCCCTGTATGAAATGCCACACCTCACACAGATCTTCTCTGAGTCACAGTTTGTTGCAAAGCCATCTGTCTCTTTGTTGCCCGTTTCCTTCAGGCAACCGTGGGCATGTTGGCAAGATTTCTGAAGAAGCTGGTCCTTGGCAATGTGTGCCCCATCTGTGTTGGATGGAGGGAGAAATCCTTGAGAGACTGATACGTCCTCTGTGCTCCCAATCCCTGAAAAGCTGTCATTCTCCCCTGCCTCCATTGGTTCTGAAAATGATGACACGGTTTTACTGGCAGTCTGACTTAGTAAAGATAAATAATCAGTGTTATTGAGATCCTTATCTGTGTATTCATCTTCCGTGGGAACTGGTGGGAAATGGTAATCATCAGTCTCACTTCCCACAGAAAAATCTCCTGTCTCACATGGCTCTGTGTTGGGGCTCCCATCCCTGCATGGAGTGGGACCACTGGTGCAGCTTGAGTTTCCAGGGACAGGAGAGCCATAGGGGCCCAGGAGACATGTGCCTTCAGAGATCTGGGGTACAGCAGCATTTGTGATGTTCACAGTAACAAACGCACCTCTAGGGGGCTCCTGAAAGAAATTCGAAGTAAAAAGGTCTTCAGTAAAGAGATCAGCAGAAAGTTATTTTCTAGACAAAGAACGAAAAGGCAGATCACGGTTTTTCCTCTGTGTGGAGCTGCTGAGGTTGAGCAGCACTGCTATATTTGAGTGCAATTCTATTCTGCTGTGAAACTGTGACTAGTGATGCTGGGTTCAGCGGGTGAGCTGGTGGTCCAGGGAGGGGGGCAATAACATTACATTTTGTGAGACCACCATTCCTAGTTCTTATGAGGTCACTTAAGAAGAGAGTTAATAAGTCTAGAAGAATTGTTGAATTCTGCTGTTCCTTATGGACCATCAGTAAGACCCATCTAACTGCTCATTAGATTTTGGAAACCCCCATGTGTCTGAAGAGCTGTTGGTCTGTGGTGGCCTTATTGGGGGCTGAATCTTTAATATCATGATTGAAGAAAGAACCTGGATTGATTCAGAAGGCCTGAGACAAGCTAAAACAAAAGAAGTCACACAGACAAGGTTGCTTTAACCCACAGAGTTAGGACAACAAATGCAAAGGCCCGTGACATCATGTTGTCAGTACTTGTCAAAGTAAAGCTGTATTTTTGGTTGCAGCTCCAAAAAAAGGATTGGGAAGTACTTCAAGGGTTTCCTTCAGTTCATGCCAGTTTTGCTTTAAAGACAAGTATTTGGGAACTGATACCTTTAATTTTTAGCGTCTCTTCAGCTCTTCCAGGATAGAAGAGAGAGTGTAAATGCTGCCAGCCACTAATTGCTGTTGATTCACTCCTCTGTCCCAGAGGATCTGAGCAGCTGCCAAGGCAGAAGGTTGCACGAACACTAATGAGACAGAAGAGGAACTGCCTGCTCAAAGAGGTGGGTTTGTTTGATATGGAGTTGTTTATTTTTTTAGCAGTGGAATTTGACTCTTTCAACAGCTAAGCTAAGCAGAGCTCCTAGAAGGGGTGGTGGGGAGAGCATGCACGTTAAACACCTCAGTCCATACCCATGGTGTGAAGCAAGCTGTGCACATGAACTTGGACTGGTGCCACCATCTGAGTGTTTCGGGATGGGATCTGGTGTTCTTCCAGAGCGAAAGCCTGGCATTCTTGGCACTGCCCCTAATCCAGGTTTCTTGCCTGTGATCACTCTGGTATGTAACAAGGGGTAAACTCAGCTGAAGCTTTTCCTGCTCTTAAGGATTTAGAAAGGCTCTCTCCTAGGCAGAGTCTCAGGTGTTCAGCAAATGGTGGGCTCATGTTTAACTTTCTCCTAATAAATATTTAAAAATCACAGAGACTCTTACCTCTGTTAAAACTGACTGAAACCAGAGAGCAGGTTCAGAAGCTATTTGTGAACAGTGATTTCATATGCCTCATATTTACAGAAAACCAGACAAAAAAAGCCAAACCTGAAAGCATTTTTTGAGGAACTCAAAACTTGTTTTCTAGCCAAACATTACCATGGAGTCTACTTCAGAAGGGGTGTCAGGAATGCCATGAGCAAAACATAAAACAAAGAGAAAATGACAGTGCCTTTGACTTTACCTTTGTTCCTTTTATTTGGCTGCACACTTCATTAGCCCAGTTCTGTAGATCTACTGTAGGGAAAACAAAAAGAGTAGCTGTAACATATAGCAGGCACTGAAGTTAACCACAGACCTAAACACCCACAGTCATTCACAATCCACAATATCATATTAAATAAAACCAGTAAGCTGTTTTTACTGACTGTTAAAGTGTCCCAGCATCGGTCTAGCTGAGGATTCATTGTAACTGGAACAGGGATAATTTCTGTGGAACAAATGTTTCCAAGCTCCTAAAATAGACCACGGTTAAACTGTGTTCCACATCAAATGGGGTTTCTTTCCTGGTCATATGTCACACCAAGCTATGACTGGCCCAACAACGACCCGCTCGCAGCGGTATGGTCTATTTCAAGAGAAGTCACATGGATGGCCCAAAGGCCCTTCCCAGACAGGAGTGAGAAGCCTGGAGAGAAGAGGGTAAGCCACTGAAACCACAGCATGGCAAGCTCAAATACAGCATACTCTACTTAATCAGGGTATGCTTAATGGGGAAATTAATTTCAATTTCCTTGGAGTATCTCCCAAAGAAAAGCTTTAAGTCCAACATATTTTATGGCAACAGCTGCCACTTAATATTAGCAATTCTGGTATTCTGTTTACACATTTAGGAGACTTTGTAGGGCTCAGGTCTCACATACATGTGAAGCTTACACTGGTTTTGTATGTCTGAAGATAGATCAGCTTTGTAGCCACTGCCAGTTCCCAGCAATGACTTTGTTCCTCTGATGTTGAAACTGCACGTTTACTGCCAGTATCCCCCCAAAAGCAGGTAGATCTTCTTCCTGAGCCTGCAATTCTCCCAGGCTTAGGTTAGCAGAATTCACCATGCAAAGGCAATGAGGGACTGTCACTGCAGAGCAGCAGGGCAACAGAAATGTCAAAGAAATTGCGTTCCCCCCTAACCTGCTCTACACAGTATTTGGTTTGTGAGGAGAGTCACCATTTCCTCCAGCCTGTTCCAGAAATTCCAGATTTAGCACAACCCATGTTTAGAGTGGCAGAGGCAGCCTATTTCTAAAACACAGGCTGAAATATACTTTACAAGAAGGGATTTCTGTCTTCCCTTCCACTGTTCCCAAAACATTTTATAAGTTGCTAGCTCTTGGGAAAGGAGGTGATGGAAAGCTTTCCATCTTTAGGGGGAAAAAATAAAAAATGAACGTAACATTAGAGGTATGTCCTTCACTAAGGAGACCAAGGGCTTAACACAGAGTTGAGTAACTACTGAAAGTATTTCCACTCAATTAATAATAAACTCAGTATCCCACTGCTATCCAGTATGCCCTTGCCAGAATTTTCCTTTTTTTTCTACTTTTACTGTTTATGCTATTTCCTTCTAGTATTTCTTCCGTGTCTTATCAGAACTTTGGCCTCCAGCTAGAAACATTGCCTCCATTGTGTTTTCAAACACACATAAGGCCTTTGTCTTGAAATCCATATTTTAACCTGTCCAGATGTAGGTTTTTAAGTAGGAGGAGAAGAAGACAGGAGGTAGTGAAAGCCCCTATGTCTGTCCCTGACTCTCTTTGGCCAAGGAGTCTGCTGTGCCATGTGGTGTGGAGCAGCCATGCTGCCCTGAAAGCCCCCAGCACCACCCCTCCTCCTTCCACACCATGGTCGTGCCCACCTCCAGGGTGGTCACCCCATGGGTCAGCGTAATACACTGCAATACACTGCCAGTAATATGCTGTAATACACTGTCTGCCTAGAGGAAGGGAATTTGAAGCCTGGTTTTGTGCTAGGTAAAGCATATCCATAGGGACAGCCATGGAGATAGCACAAAACTTCTAGCATAACTCCTGAGCTTCTTAATCTAGTGGCTACGCATGAAATCGGAGTACACAGAGAGCCATAGCTGTGTCATTAGCTATCACGTACCTGTTAGCTTTTTCCCCCTATTCTTGTAGTACACAATGAAGACAACGATGCCAATTAGTGTCACAAAAAACAAGATGACAATCAACACATATAAGATCCTGTTTGTTCCTGCAGGATGTAAAAAAGATAGTGCCATCAACATGGAGCTTGGACTCAGCAGTATAACAAACTTGCTCATTTCACCTGCTTTTCTAGGGGAGAGGGGTTTTTTTCCTTTCTATTTGATTTTTAGTTTCTGTAATAAGAACAACAGCTCCCTTACTGAAGGTCCCTGGTACCAAGACATTTCCATAAAAACCAGAGCCTCGGTGTCTCAGAGAGGTGTGATTCGGTCTCAATGCTCCCCTGAATGTTGCCTTGCAAGCTGCCAGCAGACCATGGGTTGTGCTTGATCTCACTCAGGGAACAGGGGACATACATCTCAGAGACTATAGAATTCAGCTGGAAAACTCTGTCCTTTATCTCAGGTTATGATGAATCACTGCATGCCAGGCAAGCAGCCTCCCGGGTACCATACCTATGTTGGAGAAGGAAAGGGGCAGTGGGCAAGAAGGGCTTATCTGAAAGGGATTGAGCTGAGACTGTATCCATTGCTATAAAATAAGCATGGACATGAGCTGCTGGTCTTTATACAGATAATGTGTGTATGGCAATCAGCAGGCTGAAAAAACGAATGAGCTGTAAATGTGATGGAGGTCACAGGTATAACAGCAATGCTGTTTGCCATGCAGTTTTAGTGGGAGGTGTGAAACTCAGCTTAGTAGCGGACACAGGCCTTAGAGCCACCAGGCTTAAAGCAATTTTTAAGGGTGGGATTTTCCAAGAGCTCTGTCTTGGTCTACAGCTACTCTCTCTAGGGTCACCCACAATGGGAATGGATTTAAGCCAGCCAAAACCCCTAGTAATCATATCCCTCCTCCTCCCTGCTACTTCTGAACAGATAATCTGTACGAGGACACACACCGTCTTCTGATGGCTCAGACATCTTCCGTTCTGTGCAAACTGCATCAGACTTGTCAGTCCCGGACATGATTTCTGTCATTCCTAAAGCTGTACAGCTAAAAAAGAAAGATAAAGAGGCTACATTCTCTAGAGGAAGCTTAATGTGGCTCCTAGTCTTATGCAGAGAAGTGCTGTCTATTGTAACGTACAACATTTCTCTACCCTTAAGAACATCAGGTATTTTCTATATTTTCAGCTGTGCCAGCTCAGCGGTTACATTGTAACTGCTCTCTTGCTGTCCTCTAAGGAGAATTCAAGCTTCAGCATGAGGATGTTTCCAGTGCTGTACAGCCAACAGAGATGCTCTGTGTAATCTGCGGGCAGCCTGGAACACCCCACTGAGAAATGCTTTCACCCAGGCTTCTCCCTGCCTTCTGGCTGGTGTGGCCCTTTTACAAGACACAGGGACTTACTTGGTCCAGGGTTTACACTCGTCGGTGGATGAAGACACCTTTGAGAAGTAGCCTCTGGGGCATGGTATGCACAATGTGTCCTTGTCTTGTTGCACTGTGTGTGGTAAAGGAAGAAAAATTCCATAGTTGAGTTTCTGTGAATTCCTTTCAAGCAAGAGGAAGGTGACTATGCTCCCCATCCTCTTGCTCCATTCTCCCCCCGGCAATTCTCCTGAAAACTTTCCTGAAGAGTGGATCTTAGGTTACATTATAGCAGCAACGGCAGTCACATGTCAGCAGTGAAAAGTACGCTTGTCTCACCTGAGCACTTCTCTACAAGATCAAAATGAGAAATGACCAGGAGCCATTCACAGTTTTTGTAGAAAAACACACAGCTGTTACATCCTTCCCCTTCTAATAATTCCCTCATGTCAATGCTACGCCACAGACAGTGATGCTGACTGGTATTGTCACCTCTATAAAGTCACCGTAAACAAAATGCTATATCAAGATTTGCTAGGCTGGAACAGCAACTGTGCTCTAGGCCCGTGCTGCACTTCTTCCTCCATTACTCTATTATGTGCTGCTTTTTTGGGGTTCCTTAGGCTTGGTGCAGCTGTTCCCAGTGTTCACTACAACTCTGAGCTTGACTGTGTACTTTCCACCCACAAAACACTTGCATTCTGTTTTCAATCAGACTTAAGAGTGAAGTAAATGCCTGTAATAAATCTTTGCATTACTAGCCATCTAAAACAGAATACAGGCTAAAACAGAATACTTGTGCTATCTGAAACGTGTTATCACTATTAACTTCCTTATAACATTATAAAATGGCAAAGAAAAGTCATTGGACAAAACCAGATTGCAAATCCAGCCCCAGGAACAACCCCCAAAGAGTGTTTCTCTTAATACTGGAGCAACGCATGACCCAGTGACTCACAGTCAAGACACCTCAGCAAACATTAGAAATGTACTGAACACCTTGCAACTACTGCCATGTCCACATGATATCTTGCAAAAGTCACTTGATCCAAGATAGTGTTTAAACTACAGAGGTAGAAGCCTTCAAAATGTAAATAGTCCAGGAAGGTTATATGCAGTAGTAATGACAACTCAGGTGTGCATCTTCTGTTGACAGTCATCTGAGAATCTAAAGTAACCTCTTTAATGTCAGAACCCATGCAATTCTGGCATCATCCAGTAGGCCTGAGCTGGACATTTCACTTCATATATTCCCTTTCTGTATCTTACCAGGAGGCTTGACTCCGAGTCCTGGAGCACACATGGTATTTCGCTGACAGCAGTCGCAGTCTTCATCCCAGTGGTAGCCCACTGTACAAGCACACTGCCGTTGGAATGTGCTGTTCCCTGGGTTCACTTCTCTCAAAGCTTTCCCTAAAAGAGAAAGTAGATGGGAGTAAAAATCTCTCTGATAATAAGCCTCAAGTTTCTGAGCCTCCTGTTCTACCTATTTGCTTTGCTTGAATGCCAGATGGAACACCATTCACGTTAGAGGAAATGGTGTCTTTCAGGAAGCATGGGAGACCCTTCATCAGCACGCAGGTCCTCACCAATTGCACTCCTGAACAATACTCCTTGTAGCTGCTGTAGAAAATAAATGGAGCTTTTGCAAGGGTGAGACAAAGACATTAGGGGAAGTAAATGCACAGAATGCTGGGCAAAAGGACAGCCTTTAAGATCAACTCACAGGAGGCAACGGCCCAAGTGCAGATAACCACTATCAGCAGCACAGACTATGGTCATGGTGCTCAGCACAGCACAGAATCTCTGCTGCCTGGGCACCTCACTTTCCACCAGGGTCTTCTGCAAGCCCAGCCTCCAGCATTGGGTACCTGAACAAAGCAACTTCCCTAGATCCACTTTCCCACCTTCATGCTTCAATAATTTGGATTAAAGGTTCTGCAGTATGAACAGCTCACCTTGATCACATATTTTATGTAGTAAGCATTTATCTTCTTCATTCCAGACATCCATATACTCATTTGGGCCACACGGCTGGCACACGCTATCAGAAGTACCAGTGCATCTAGCAGACAAATACTTTCCTGTGATTGACAAAAGGACAAGTAGGTCACCCACAAGTTGCACAAAGCTGTCTAAGCTGTTTAGAGAAAAATAACAGGTTAGACTAACACTGAAGTACCACTGTGAACAATCCTGTACTTTTTCAGTTTGTCAATCTGGCCCCCAATTAGTGTGGCACTGAAACATTCATGAAGTTGATGGCCTGGGAGCAGTCCTACCTACATGTTGCTTTCTGTCTCCTGCAGTGGTTAAGTGCTATCTCAACAAAATAGCTGCTGTGGCTTTTGCTGAGGCTGGCAGGACCACTCCTGCACTAGAAAGCACTGGTAAGCCTGAAATCATGCACCTGCAAGGGTATGCCAATAGATCAGCAGAGTCACAAGAGCCAGCCACCTCACTGACCCGTAGAGCAGTTTCTAGTCAGCTTTTCAGCTGTGCAGCTGGTACAGCCCAGTCAGTGCTCACATACCTGGCTCACACTTTGTGCAGCACCGTCCAGAGTATTCATAGTGTTGTTCGCTTTCACATGGCGGAGTGATTTGTAGTGACAGCTGGAGCAGAGAAGGAAAGAGAGGACATGAGAACCAATACACCTGGAGAACTTCAGACCTACCTAGTCACAGTGCTGGCAGAGAGAAGGAAAACTTTTCTTCTGTGTGGCATTTTGGATAGCTAAGCAGTAAAAGTTACCCGACATTTATGACTTCAAAGGTGCTTTGTAGACATGCTAAGAATATGTACTTCACGCTGTACACACAGGGACTTGGAATAGAGCCAGGTGACAAATAAATAACACTTCTTGCAATTTGTTGTGAACTTTTGGCCTGCTATATAAGGTTTTCTAACAGGACTCCATTACTTGAAATCTATGGCTTTAAAACAATTGCAAAGGAAAAAAAATGGCATAGAGATACTTCTGTAGTCTCTTTCACAGAAATGACCTGTGCAACTGACAGTTTTAATGCAGAGCATTAAGGAACCAAGCAAGGTGAATGATTTATACTCTCAAAAAAGAAGAAACACCCAGCTTCCCACTGGAATCCACAATACTCCTGGCTAGAAAATACTGGACTTGAATTTTGCAGCTTTTTATGTCTCCACTGTGTCCTGCAGAGGTGGTCTCACAGAACTGAGGCAGCCATCCAGAAAGGTGATCCAATTAAGCCAACGGCTTTTTGTGTCTCAAAAAACCAAAACAAAACCAACACAAACAACCCCTCCCCAAACCACCTGAAACTGGTACATGAGAGGGCATCTGCAATCTTGTGTCTGGCCCTCACTGGCCTTTGCATCCCCTCCCTGCTCTCAGCTGCCTGTACACACTCTGGTCCCATCCACAGCCCAGCTCCCTCAGCCAGGCTTAGGGGCATAGGTTGTGGTGGGGATCCTGGCCAGTCAAGCACTCGCTGACCCTGCTTTGGCTTCCCAGAGTCCTCCAGGCAAACCCAACACCTTACAACCAACTGTTGATCTTGCAATAGATAAAGTGATTTAAAATCTAGCCCATAGCAAGGAAACCTTCATTATTGGATACATTTGATAAAATCTCATTTAATTGGAGAAAGTTGCAATAAAGCTCCTATTGCTGGTTAAAGGGAACTTTTGCCATCTAATAGCACATAACAGCCCTGTGCCTACTGATAGTGGTTTCCATTCCTCTACTTACCATTCTCCCCTTGTTACCTCCAAGTCTTTACATCTCCTCTTTCCTCTTTCCTAATTTAAGCAATAGCAATCTCTTTAAAGAGAAAATAGTTTTCCGTAAGCACTTTGTCCTCTTCTAATGCTGGGAAGGGTCTGGTAAATTAAAGATGACCAAAAAAAGTTTGAAATTTTTCTTTAAAAAACTACCTTTTGGCTTGGAGTTTGAGCCATGGGTTGGTGCATGATTTGTATTTATCAAAACAGTGCTAGCTATGTTTGGAACAGAAAAAGTAGCACAAGTCAGAGGTCTTGAGTTTTCATATTTTGAAGTTTATAAACAACTTACAGCTTTTTTTTATACAATTACAACAATCTCAGGTCAAATTAAGAGTCTAGTCTTGCAAGAAATCTTCTGCTGCCTCATAATTTCCTTCTCTCTTTCTTTACATTCATCAGCAGTACCTCGCCTGTGATTAGATTATGCATTTTTGGAATAAACATTGCATTCCATGTTTACACAGCAAAAGATAATGATCAGCTCTGGCAAGGTAAGAGGTGATCTAGGAAAAGGAAAGCCGTGCCAGCCTGGTAGATGAACAGTGACATCACTTAAGTGTCCCTGGGGAAACGACAAAAACACTCCTGTACTCGAAACAGCTCAATTTCTGTAATGCAATTTAGGCGTTATCTGCTAAAACACCAAGCTGTCCAGCAAGGGGTTCAGGTGATGTTGCAGGACCAAGCAGCAGAGAGAAAGTCTTGAACGACTGATTCCCTACCCAGCCACGCGCAAAAGGTAACAAAATGATGAGACTAACAGCAGGTCCAGTCATTCTCTTTTTGTCACAGAATGTCCTCTTCTTCCTCATTTGCCACAGTTTAATAGTTCCTCTTTTAGACGAAAAGACTAAAAAATTACTGAAGTGTCAAACAAGGGCGAAGTCATCCTTTTTAGGGAAGGATATGCAAATCTGCTAAAGAGCATTCAGTTAAAGGGTCTGGAGTAATTTCTGAGAATCACAACTCAGCCTGAGGAGAAGCAGCAGAGCCTTGGTGCCGAAGTGAAGGGAGCTGAGTAATTGCTTGGACACCTTTCGGAAATCGTTTCATACACCTATGCTTTATCATATAATGTGGGCTATTGTTACGGTATAGTTCACAGCTCCAGCTGCAGAAATCTATTCTGTATGTCAATAAAAAGTCTCTTCTGTAATTGTGTCCTCCCTGTTTTCACTCAAGCCAATGAATTCACAGAGCTGCAATATTCCCTCTTTTGATTTATGCCCAATGGCAGAAAGACAAGGCTCTCAGCAACCATGTGTGAGCGCAACCTCCTTGCGAAGGTGAGGGATTTTGTACTGGCATGGACTGGCTGGACCTGCTGAGCATGAAAGCCAAGGGAAGAGAGGACAGGAAAGGAAATCAAAGCAACCTGGAGTTTTCTTAGGGTGGGAGCCAAACTTGGGCCTTTTTGCTAACACAGTCCCATTGATGTCAGGCTATCCCTTTTTTGTCCTTCTGCCAGGGGGCTGTATGTGTCTGTCCCAAACTGTACATCAACTTCCTTTGGGGGCCGAGAAGTGCTCGTGCTGCTGGCAGCACCATGACCTAATGCTTCGCCATCACCAGCACATTCCTGCCACTGTGTCCTTCTGAGACAGGGAAGTGTAATTAATTTTGCAGATGAGGAACTTGCACCCAGAGGCCAGCTGGCTTTACAGAGGTGACAGGAAACCAAACCAAGTCTCCCAAGGCTCAAGTTTGCTCTGTAACCCCTGGAACATCCTTCCTATCATCAGATGCTGGCCTGTGGGTCAGAGTGATTTGAACACCATCAAGTTCTTATCTAGGGATAGAACAGGCCTCAATGAATAAGGTGCCAACCTCCTCTGAAGTGCTTAAAATGAAACAAACCCCAGCCTGGCTATTCCTTTAATGGTCTCGCTATTGATGAAATTGCCCATTAAATTCCAACACCACATGCAAATAAGTGCTTCAAAAAGCTCTAGGTATCCTATGTAAATCTAATTTGTCACTTCAAAAGTGTGCAAAGCACACAGATTTACCCCAGTTCCTAAGAAAGAGAGAGCTTTCCTGTTCGATTAACATTATCTCAGAACATGTATATCTGACAGGGAAATAGTCAAGGGGAAAAAAACCAAACCTCCTCCAGGCTTGGTGGATCCAGTCCAGTAAAGCACACAAACACCTGCTTACCTTTAAGCACATGGGTAGCACTATTGACTTCACTGGAAAAACGGGCATTCTCATGTCAAGGTTTGCAGAAAGATTGTATTTTGGCATCGAGCTGCAGGCAGCTTTTTCAGCTTCGGTTTTTCTTGCCTATTTGTTGAAAAGCATGCTAAGCAAGAGTGTGTCTGTGCTTTTAGGGCTGGAGAACATTGATGACAGTGCTAAAATCACTCGTGTTACTTGGACCTTAAAAAAACCCTCCACACCTTCTAAGGGTGCTTAGAAGCACCCTTTAGGTGCTTCTAAAGGGGCAACCAGCCACATTCAGATTCCTGTCCTCAGGCTTAAGGGAATATTTATTCTTTGTGCCGTTGAGCAATCAGAGGGCAGCAGAAGCTGTGTGTCATGGATGCTAAAACTACTTCTTGCTCTTCACATTTCAGAAAAGATACAGTTGCATGGGCCTCTTTCCTTTAAAAGAAAAAAATCTGGAAGAACAAGGTCGGGGGTTTCCACAGTCTTTTTCCCATGACACTTTTGAACAAGAACCTGAGGCCTCAATGAGGATTGCTCATTAATGTTAATCTTAGTTTGGCAAAAATTGAGATGTAAAAAGACACGTCAAGGGGTAACTATTTTTTAAGATGACACCTTCTTGCTCAGTGTAGTTGTTTCTGGAGGGTATTCAACTCATCTGTCATCATTTCACTGAGCAAAGCACATTTTTTTTCTCCATTTATTATCTCAGCATCAAAGTACCTGTGGGAGAGACAACTACAATCTGTCCCACCTTGCACACACCACTTGTTCTTTACACTTTGGAGCCCAGGTTTATTCAAACCACTTGCTTTTGAGGTCCTCAGTCTTGCCTGCTGTAGAACTAAAAAATTCCTGTGGATTTAGAGCAAAGGCTTTATTTGCCTTTGTCAAGAGGACTGAGCTTTGAGCAACATTTCCTGAACTGAAGTAGCCCCTGCAAGCATGGCACCCTGGTATCCAGCTAAGATGGCCTCTGCAGTCATCTGCTGCTGCTGCTGCTTCAAATATGAGCCACTGCCTCTCCTCTTCCAGGTACCGACTGTGTGCCCGCAGCCTTCCAGCTTCCTACCTGATTTGGGTCAGCAGTATCACCGACCAAACTCCAGATTTCTTCAGCCTATCACCAGTTTTAGAGGCTTGCCTAAAAAATTGTTTAAGGATAAAACCAGAATCTGGTTCTTGATGGGTGCTGCTCTGTGGTTGGTTCTCCCGGGCACTCTGTTGAGGTGCGTAATAGTACCGTGCACAATGAATGACTCTGGAAAATTTTTAAATTGTGGGTTTAGGGGGCAAACAAGGAGTCCTATTTTAAAGACTTAACTGTAATCACATTATATGCAAGAGTTCCTTCATAGACAGTTTTCACTGTTGATAAAAATTACATCAAAGCAGCACACAAGTCACAGCTTTGCAATTCCAGTTATTTGCTTGCAGGCCTGTAATTCATCACAAAAATCTCAGATTGTGAATGAAATGCTTTTGGTGATGTCAACTTTCCAGTGACCAGTAAACCACATCAGAGAACTACCACCACGTGGTAGAACAGAGCCGGGAAATGGCAACAGCTAAAACTAAATATTATTTCATTCTTAAAAATAGACTCTTGAAACCCTGCTAGAGCCTGAATACCTAAGGAGTCCAGAAAGAGTGTGAGGGATAAAACCGATAATGAAGA